CTGGGGCACGACTTCCCTGGCTGGAGCTTTTCGGAGTCACGGAACCTCTCCCGGGAGCGCTCCCCATTAAAACACTTTTAAACCTACCGCCTGGCTCTGCTGTCTTTAATTTTCTCCTCTGATCATTAAAAGAAAACCTAACAGGTGGGAACACAGGCAGGCACTCAGAAGGGCAGAGAAGAGGCCACACCATTAATAGTGTTTGAGAGGGACATCTGGGTGGCTCAGGGATTTGGGCGTCTGCCTTTGGCTCCGGGAATGATCCCAGGATCCAGGACGAAGTCCTACATCGGGCTACCTACAGGGAGCCTGCTTCTCCCTCTGCCTCTCTCTGTGTGTCTTTCATGAATGAATAAATAAATCTTTAAAAAAAATAGTGTTTGAGAAACTGCAGTGGGAGAGTTCTGTGAGAAAACAAAGGCTTCTTTCTTGTGAGCTCTCGGAGGAAATGTTTTTCTCCCTCTCCATATCAAACTTTTTCAGACATGTAAAATATACCCTTTCACACTCCAGTGGTGCTGCAACTCCAACAGAGATGAAAGCAAAGCTCTTTTTTCTTAATGACTGAATTGCTGAATACAGTATTATTATCCCAAGATTTTATGGTAGGCTGCATTTTTTCTTGAAGTATGGTTGACATACGTTATTATGTTGGTTTCAGGTGTACAACATAGTGATTCCACAATTACATGCAATACAAAATACCATAAGTGTAGTTACCCTGTGTCACACCAGTGTTATTATAATATTACTGATTATATTCCCTATGCTGCACTTTTCATTTCTGTGACTCATTTTATAACTCTAAGTTTGTACCTCTTAATCCCCTTCACCGATTTTGTTCATTGCCCACCTCCTCCCCTCAGGCAACCATCAATTTGTTCATTGTATTTATGAGTCTATTTCTATTTTTTTTGTTTGTTCATGCATTTGTCTTGTTTTTTATATTCCACATATAAGTGAAATCATGGTATTTGCCTTTTTCTGTTTGATTTAGTTCACTTAACATAATGCCTTGTATATCCATTCATGTTGTACAGATAGCAAGATTTCATTCTTTTTTTATGACTAATAATATTCCATTGTATATGTATGCCATACCTTCTTTATCCATTCATCTATCCTTGAACACTTGGGCTTCTTCCATACCTTGACTATTGTAAATAAGCTGCTATAAATATAGGGGCACATGTATCTCTTCAAATGTGTATTTTTGTATCCTTTGTGTAAATACCTAGTAGTGTAATTCCTGAATTATAGGGTAGTTCTGCTTTTAACTTTTTTTTTTTTTAACTTTTTGAGGAACCTCCAAACTATTCTCCAGAGTGGCTGTACTAGTTTGCATTCCTAGAACAGTGCAAGACAGGTCTCCTTTCTCTGCAGCCTCACCAACACCTTTTGTTTCTTGTGTTTTTAATTTTAGCAATTCCGACAGGTGTCAGATGGTATCTCATTGTGGTTTTGATTTGTGTTTCGCTAATGATGAGTGATGTTGAGCATCTTTTCATGTGTATGTTAGCCATCTGGATGTCTTCTTTTTTTACCTCTTTCTTACAGTATTTCCTTTCCACTCAGTAAGTCCCCTTAACATTTCTTGTAGGACTGGTTTAGTGGTCATGACATGAACCACTTTTTATATATATATATATTTTTTATTGGAGTTCGATATGCCAACATATAGCATAACACCCAGTGCTCATCCCGTCAAGTGCCCCCCCCAGTGAACCAGTTTTTAATGTTGCAAAATGCCTATTCTGCGTGAGTTTATAACAATATTGAGAAAAATATTTTATTTCTATGTTTTATTAATACTCCCTTATTTTCCCATTGTTATTCTTGATTTGAAATTTTGTGTTAAAATTTAGATTATTCATTAGATAATGTTGGTACAGATCATTTGTCTTTACAATATATCGTGTGATTTAGAACTTTTTTAAAGATTTGCTTACTTATTTTGGAGAGAGAGAGCACAAGAGGCAGCAAGTGGGGTAAGGAACAGAGGGAGAGAATCTTGAAGCAGACTCCCTACTGAGTGCAGTCTAACATAGGGCTCAGTCCTACACTCCATGCGATCATGAACTGAGCCAAAAGCCAAGAGTCAGAGGCTTAACTGAGACACCCAGGTGCCCTTCCTTTAGTACTTATTAATTCACATATATAGTAATATGTGTATATATATATTTTTTTCCTCCTCAAATAAGAGACAGCTATGTGGGACGCCTGGGTAGCTCAGTGGTTACGCACCTGCCTTCAGCTCAGGGCGTGACCCTGGAGTCCTAGGATCGAGTCCCACATCAGGATCCCTGCATGGAGCCCGCTTCTCCCTCTGCCTGTATCTCTGCCTCCCTCCCTCCCCCCCCTCTCTGTCTCTCATGGATAAATAAATAAAATCTTTTTTAAAAAAAGAGACAGCTATGTATTTGCTTACATTTGTTGGTGCTGTGGAGTTTTGGTGGAAACATATCCCTTTTTTAAAGCTAACTTAAGTTTCTACAAAGCATTTTTGTCATACGTTATTTTTTTTTTTTTGGAACTAGGCTTCCCCCAAATTAACTTGAATTATATGTAATCAATCCTTCTCCTTTTTTTTTTAAAGGTTTTATTTATTTATTAGAGACACACACACAGAGAGAGGCAGAGACACAGGCAGAGGGAGAAGCAGGCTCCATGCAGGGAGCCTGACGCGGGACTCAGTCCCGGGTCTCCAGGATCATGGTCCGGCGCTAAATTGCTGAGCCTCCGGGGCTGCCCATCACTCCTTCTTTATTAAAAAAAAAAAAAAAAAAAAATCCTACTTCAGGAATGCATGGGTGGCTCAGTGGTTGAGCATTTGCCTTCAGCTCAGGGTGTGATCCCTGGGTCCTGGGATCGAGTCCTTCATCGGGGTCCCCGTGAGGAGCCTGCTTCTCCCTCTGCCTGGGTCTCTGCCTCTCTCTTGAATAAATTTTAAAAATCTTTAAAAATAAATTCTTTTTTTTTTTTTTTTTTTAAATTTTTATTTATTTATGATAGTCACAGAGAGAGAGAAAGAGAGAGAGGCAGAGACACAGGCAGAGGGAGAAGCAGGCTCCATGCACCGGGAGCCCGATGTGGGATTCGATCCCGGGTCTCCAGGATCGCGCCCTGGGCCAAAGGCAGGCGCCAAACCGCTGCGCCACCCAGGGATCCCCTAAAAATAAATTCTAATTCATTGGTGTTTCTAGAAATTGAAGGTCATGGTTGAGAAGTTGCTTAACTCTGTTCAATATAAGTATTACTCTTGATGAAATATTGTTTTTTAATATGAAATATTTATATTTAGTAGCTACAATAGGAAACTGGTGGTTCTTTATACCTTATAGCTATCCCTTCTATACTTTTCATCAAAAAATTACCACCACAAGAGAACAATAATACAGGATAAGTCTTCCATACAGTAATGTGGGAAAGGAATGCAGGCCATGATATTAAAGATTTTTGCATCAGGGTACTCCAGGAAAGCATGTATGACTTTGAGTGTCAGTGGAAAGATGAAAGAAACTACAAAGGATTTCCTGTGAATTATAAAGATCATCTCAGCGGTAGAAGAGATCAATCTGGTAGAAGGGATGAGGAAATAGGCTTGGATTAAGCTTGCAGGATGAACTGCCCATATGTCAAACTTAAGGGAAAATTTACACATGTAATAAAGCTGAGAAGTTTTTCAACAGTGGATCCTCAGTTTTACTACTTCAAAGAATTCCTCCTAGTGTCCAAACCAACATTTCTAATAAAGATGGGAGTGATTTTAAGAATCCTTCGATACTGACACAAGACCATGAAGCAAAAAAGGAAAAACTTTACAAATGTAATGAGTGTTGCAAAGCTTATTATCAAGTGTCACACCTCAGTAGACATCGGATGATTCATACTAGAGAGAAACCTTACAAATGTAATGAATGTGGTAAGGTCTTCAGTGAAAATTCATATCTGGCAAATCATGAGAGAGTTCATTCTGGTGAGAAATTCTGTCAGTGTAATGAGTGTGGCAAAACCTTTAGAGTGCATTCAAGCCTTAGTAATCATCATATAGTACATGCTGGAGAGAAATCCTCCAAATGTAATGAATGTGGTAAGGTCTTTAGTCATGGTTCATACCTTACACATGATAGCAGAATTCATATTGAAGGGAAACTTTACAAAGGTAGTAAGTGTGATAAAGTCATCTTCAGTCAACAGTTAAGCCTTGCACGTCATGAGAGATTTCATAATGTCAAAAAGCTTTCCAAGTGTAACGCTGTGGCAAAGCCTGTTCTTACCACTGACAACTCGCTAGCCATCAGGGAATGCATATTCGAGAAAAATCTTATAAATGTGATGAGTGTGGCAAAGCTTCAGTAAACATTTAAGCCTTGCAAATCATCAGAGAATGCATAATGTTAATAAAGTTTACACATGTAATGACTGTGGCAAAGCCTTTTCTTACTGCTCAGAACTCACTAACCATCAGGTAATGCACACTGAAGAGAAATGTTATAAATGTACTAAGTGTAGTAAAACCTTTACTTGGTTCTCACCAGTCACTAGACATCAGATACTTCATACTGGAGAGAAACCTTATAAATGTAATAAATGTGGCAAAGCCTTTTCTTGGGTATCACATCTCAGTAGACATCAGATGTTTCATACTAGAGAGAGACATAAAGGTAATAAACATACTAATGTCTTCAGTCAGAATCCAAGCCCTGCAAGTCATCAGAGAATTCAGCCTACCAGGTAACCTTACAAATGTAAATGGTTGTGCAGAACCATGAGGGTTGACACCAGAGTCCGCACTAAACAGAAAATGTAAAAACATTTATGTAAGCAGCTTTACCTAGTCCTCATAACTCCCTAAACATTAGAATATACATCTTTGATAAAACCCTGTAAATGTAATGTGTGTGCCAAGTCTTTATCCAAAGATCAAAACTGAAACATTATTTATATTGGAGAGCAATCTCATAAAGGTCGTTCATACTAAGGCCTTGTTTCAAACACCCATGCTTTTGGTGTCAGAGAATCAAACCAGAGACGAACCATACAACTGTACTGAACTTGGAAAGGTCTTGGAGCAAAGGTGAGTCCTGAATATTGACCAAAGAATTCTTTACAAGTAAAATGAACATATTAATTTCCTTAATTTTCACAACAGACTCCACATTGGAATATTTATACAAAGAATAAGTCTCTATTTCTCTAAGATTTATCTGAGACCTCACATACTGCAGAATAAATACAAGTCAAAATATGTTAAAATCCATATGTCATGATCTATATCAAAAGAACAAATATGTGGAAATGGCCAGTACTCTTAATTTTACAAGGTATTTTATTCAATTATTTGAGGTTTCCCTAGAAACCTCATTATCTATGAGTCTCAACATGACATTTGGAAGCTGTTGGTAGGTTTTCCTTATTGGCCTTTCATCATGGTCTTTGGGAAAGGAATCACAAAGATGGATGATCCTACTTCATTAGCTGAGATTCATTCATACTTATGTTCCCTTTTAGAACAAAGACACTTCCTTTTAAAATTAAATATTACCTGAATTAGGGAAGATTTAGGGTGTAGAGAATACTGCCAAATGATGCTATAAGTCATCATACTCATTGTATTCATGGGTGCCCTTCTATAGACAGACTCACTGTGGTTTACAGGAAAGGAATGCTCTACCAAATGATCATGAAATAAGTAGCCCAAGATATTAAGAGATTGGGATTTATATGGGAGAATAGTAATAGGTTGTTGGGGAGTCATTATGTGGTAGAAATAATACAGGGACATGGTAGCTATGTTCTTTGGATGGTAATAGCTTGTACTTCAAAGATTAATGAAAATTAGTCTTATTTTTGACAATTGGAGAGAGAACAATTACCAGGAGAGTTAATCAAAAGAACCAGTAGAGTTTATGCATGTATATGATTCACATTTAACTGTTGGTATAACTTTTGCTGCATTTTTCACCTCTATTGAGGTATAGCTGTCAAGTAAAACTATGATATTTAAAGTGTACATTGTGATGATTTGATAAACATATACATTGTAAAAGGATTTTTCCCATGTAGTTAATTGCTACAGCTATCACTTCACATATTTATCTTGTGTGTGTGTGTGTGTCACAACACTTAAGTTCTCTCATAGATCCCAATTATACAAGAAAACGTCCGTGCCATGTCCTACAGTAGCTCCTTAGTCCTTTAGAACTGAAAGCTTGTACCCTTTTACCAACCTCTCCATGTTTCCCTGAACCCCGAGCCCTGGGAACCACTTCCCTAGTGTTTTTATGAGTTTAATTAACTGATTTTTTTTAAGTTTATAGAGCTCTATGGAATGAGCCTGTCAGCATCCCCTGACTGATTTCTTTATAAGTCAATGCATTTGAAGTAGCAGTCACCTCTTTCAGACTTTACAGACCAGTTTTGGCAGGTAAAATCCCTTTCCAGCTAGGTCCTCAAACTAATGGAGTTGCCTCTGGAATCCTGTGCCAGTGGGTCACATGGCTAAAGCAAGGTCACATGGCTCCTGCCTCATCCCCTCTAGTGGGGGGAAGGGGCATAGTCACTGCATATGTGTGCTATGCCAGGACATTCTCAATTTACCCAAAAACATATTAAATCTGCTAATTTCCCTACTAAACATTGTATTTCGATTGACTGCCAGTTCTCTATGGATGAAATTTTCCACAGGTAAGGATGAGAGAAAACATATGTAGTAGATGTTAACTAACAGATACTGCCAGAAAAACTATTTTCCCAGAACAAATAAATTTATTGGATATTTGATAATCTAATTTTACTTTCCTTAGGGTTCATTTATTAAAGAACATACTTCCCTATAGAATGCTCTTAGAAATATTGCAAAAGTGATTATTCTTTAAGTGAAAATAAGTCCCAAAGTCTTTCAAAAACATCCTATTTTACAGGCTTTGTAAACATTCGGAGAGAAAAGCTAAAATATATTACAATTTGTAAGCAAAAAACTTCATAATTACTTTCCAAAGGATGTGTAGTGATTTTGAAATTATATTTAGATATTGATTTAAGTATATTATGATGTAAACAAGTCAGTCTCAGGTATTTGAAGGTAATTCATATCAGGTGTGTAACAGAATAATTATAACAAACGTTATAAAGTATAACGAGGCAATTTATAACGATTTCTTAAAAGGTACTGTTGTTCGGGCACCTGGGTGGCTCAGTCCATTGAACATCTCACTCTTCATTTCAGTTCAGGTCATGATTTGAGGTCTTGAGATTTAGGCCCACCTGGGGCTCTGAGCTGGGCCTGGAGCTCGCTTGAGATTCTCTCTTACCCTCTGCCCCTCCCCCCATTCGCACTTGCTCTCAAAAAATAATCTGGGGGTGGGGTGGGGAAGGCAGCCTGGATGGCCCAGCGGTTTAGCGCTGCCTTCAGCCGGGGCATGATTCTGGAGACGCGGGGTCGAGTCCCACGTTGGGCTCCCTGCATGGAGCCTACTTCTCCCTCTACCTGTCTATTTCTCAGGAATAAATAAATAAAATCTTACAAAAAAAATTTTTTAAGCTACTGTTGTTTTTAAAGCAGTGGTTGGTAATCCAAACTATCCTATACCTCAGCCCTCCAAGCCTCATATCCCAGGTCTCAGGTCTCCTCCCTATGAAAGTCTTTGGAACGGAGCCCAGTGTGGAGTTTGGCCTCCTGGGTTAGTGGGGAATAGAAAAATGTCATTTTGTTGGGTGTCAGTATAGCATTGCCCTTTCTCCTCAGGGAGAGTTCTTTAATTTTGTTTTGTTTTTTAAGATTTTACTTATTTATTCCTGAGAGACACAGAGAGAGAGGCAGAGACACAGGCAGAGGGAGAAGGAGGCTCCATGCAGGGAGCCTGACGTGGGACTTCATCCGGATCCCAGGATCATGACCTGAGCCACCCAGGTGCCTCATCCAGGAAGAGTTTTGTATTTCACATTCTAACCTGTAATCCCTACACAGAAAACTCTATAGTTACACAACTAAACTCTTATTAAATTGATTCTAACTGTAGGAAATGTTCCCGGAATCACCGCGTCCCCACAGACCAGTTCCACAGATCCCAGTTCCCTGACCCCCGAATTGCTTCAGCTTCCCGAGGTTTTACCTTAGAATTGTTAGAAACAGTGACATAAGCAGGAAGCAAGGCTGCTCCTGAACATAACAAAGAATAAGTTTTACCCACAGAGGAAACACCTTGGGAACGCTTGGAGGGACGACAACCGCTCTCCCGCATCAGGTGCGCCAACCGGGCCACGCCCCCTGACGGTCGCGCGGGCGAGGCCCCATCCCGCCATCCCGCGCTCTCGCGGTACCTGCACGCAGACCTCGCCTCTCTACGCCACGCCCCCCTCGCCCGCCTGCGCGTCCACTTCCTCCCGTCGTCTGGCGATTCCTCTGTGGGCCTCGCCGCTCTGCGCCCCGCCCCTTGATTGTTGCGTCCCACCCTCGCGGTTCCTGCGTTGGCCCCGCCTCCCTCTGCGCCCCGCCCCCACGTTGCCCCGCCTCTTTTTTTTTTTTAAGATTTTATTTATTTATTCATGAGAGAGAGAGAGAGGCAGAGACACAGGCCGAGGAAGAAGCAGGCTCCATGCAGGGAGCCCGACGTGGGACTCGATCCGGAGCCTCAGGGATCAGCCCTGAGCCAAAGGCTCGACTTCTGAGCCACCCAGGCGTCCGGCCCGCCTCTTAACAGCTGTGCAGGTTCCTGTAGACCTCGAAGCGGATAGCGCGGAGCACAGGTCTCTCTGGGGAGAGTGATTTTCCCTCTTTCTCGTTTAAACCTGCTCATCGCAGTCTCCTCTTCCTCCATGGCCGAGGTATGGGGGTCGCTACGGGCCTTTAAGTCCTCGCGCCCTCGCCTGCACCCCAAGTAAATGCGGACGTCGCGGTGGGAGGCCGGGTGTGCGTCCCTTTCGGTTTCCAATCGCAGCGAAGCTGGTCCCTGCCCTTGGCACCTTGTGTGGGGTCCACGCGGACGCCCGCTTCCCCCTCGGCGTCCTGCTCGGAGCCGTCGTCGGACCCCGCGCCCAGCAGAGCCCCATTCCGCCAGGTGGGTGACCTGTGCTCTTGGCGCACCACAGCCTCCCTTTCTCGGCCCCGGCGGGCAGCCCCTGCAGCCCCCTCAGGAGGGGCCGCGTCCTCCTGGGGTCCTGGAATGCTGGAGCGCCCACCCCGCTTCTAGGACGCCACCCCTTTGAGCAGCTCCTCAGGCCCCCTCCCTGGACACGTCTTCTCTTGACCCCGGGTGCGGTGGGTGACCTGGGCCTGTCTCTGACATTCGGTGCTCTTCTGGCCCCAGTCCAACCCCCTGGACAGTGCGCTTGTGTAGCGACGGGCATCTATATCCATCCCGCGCCTACTGGATGTGTGGTCGAGAGACAGACTGCGACCGGAAGAAAGCATAGAGGATGGCTGAGGGACTTGCAAAAAGAGAGTAAGAATAAGCCGAGAAAGCAGGTGGAAGGAAGTTAGAGGAAAGCGGGATCTCCAGGGAGGCGAAGGACAGCAACGTAGGAGAAGGGCCCTTGTTCCGTGTAGGAGCGGAGGCCACATTGGTGAGTCAGTTCAGGTAGAGAGTGGGGGGAGAGGACGGAAGAGTTAAAGCCTTGGCCAGTCTGAGCAACGTGTAGCTGAGACAGAGAAACAGGTGACAAGGAGAGCGAGGGAAGAAACAGACCAGAATGGAAGTATAGCTACCTGGGGGTGCCAGAGAGAAGGGGGACCAAGGGAGTATGGCAGGGAAAGAAGAGAGGAATGTAAGGGAGGGCAGAGGAGCCCAGATGGGAGAAGAAAGGGGCAGGCATGCATGGAAACTGGGGACAATCAGAAAGATTGGGGAGAAATAGAAACTAGAGGGAAACAAGTGGCCAAGTGGGGCGGAACAGGTTTGAGAGGATGAATCCAGGGGAAGACAGAAACAGCAGGACAGGAGAAGGGAACAGAATGAGCAGAAACCCAGGGGAAAACAGAAAAAAAAATTGCAGAGGTATATAGAATGAGAAAGAAAACACATGGTAATGAAAAAAGAGGGTGGACCTCAATCCAGATGATTCTGAGTTGACTGGATGTAGATAATTAAGTTGTGGAATACTGATTTGTGACTTTACAATCTTAAATGCTTAAAGTTTGAATTCTATGGATGAGGATGAGAATTTCAAGACTCCTGTGTATAAGGCTTATATGAGTTTTATATTTATGTGCATCAAGATAATTTCCATTTGCAAACGCTGTTCAGCCAGGGGCAGTGACTGGACTCAGTCAGTTGGGGGTCACCCTCTTCCCTTTGCCTGGGCTGGGTGGGGGAGGAAACAGATGAGGCAAGCAGTGACCCCCTACTACACACTGCCTTTGTAAAGGAAGATTACACTTACTGTGTGCTTTTTTGGGTAATGGATTTACATCCCCCCCCCCCGCCACACACACACACACACACACACACACACACACACACTTCTCTTACATTTGATTCAGTATTCTTATTGTGGCTTGAGATAAATCTGAGGTCAGTTGGCACTTTTTCTGTCAATTTTATTATTTTATTTAAGTTCAATTAGTTAACATATAGTGTATTAGTTTCAGAGGTAGAGTTCAGAGATTCATCAGTCTTATATAACACCCAGTGCTCATTATATCAGGTGCACTCCTTAATGTCCCTCAGCCAGTTACCTTATCCCCCTTGCCCCTCTCCTCTCCAGCAACCCTATTTATTTCCTAGGATTAAGAGTCTCTTATGGTTTGTCTCCCTGATTTCATCTTATTTTTCAGTTGCCACTTTTCTATAAATAATTACTAGCTTCTGAAATAAGCTTTGGTGGCCTCCTATACTCAAGTCATGTTATTCTTTTCTCAATATATGTTTTTTAAGTTTCTATGTTAATCACCCAGTCAATATGATATATTCTTAATTTTTTTACATTGCCACCATTATGATTTATTTTTTTAAAAATTAAAACTTTCCCTTCTAAATTTGTTTCTGTGTGCTTTCTCCTCTCTCTCCTTTTTAAAGATGTATTTATTTATTTATGGAGAGAAAGTACAAGTGAACAGCGGGAGGGATAGAGGGAAAGGGAGAGAAAATTCTGGAGCAAATTCCCCACTGAGCACAGAGCCTGACCTGGTGCTGGATCCCACAATCCTGAGATCATGACCTGAGCTGAAATCAAGAGTCAGCCACCCAACTGACTGAGCCACCCAGATGCCCCTTTTCCCTATCTTATATATTAGAAAAGTTTTTTGGTAATCACTAAATAATCTTAGTTTTTTTTCAATGAGTACTTGGTAAGATTGTGAGTGGTCTTTTAGCATTTGTAACCTAGTTTAACCAGCTGCCTAACACTCCATTTTCTTCTTTTATGTGATCTGTTAAAACAGTGGGCTGTGAGCTACTAAGTCAATATTTCCCTCAAGTCCATTTGTCTGCTCTCTACAAATAGAAGGATGGCTGGATTGACTTGGAACTTTTTCCCAAAATAGCTCATCTATTTACAATGAAGAAATTTGCTCACAAACAAAACAAAGAATCTCTAACAAAATAGAAATTGTTAAAAAAAAATTTGCTCAGAGTTTATTTCTATAGCTGATCCTCTTTCATTGCAATTCTGTATTTTTAAATGTTTTACTGTGATTTTCTGGAAAAGAGGAATTAAATACTTGGTATCAGTGTGATCAGGTCAAAGAAAATTTTCTTTTGCTGGGGCATCTGAAAAAAGGTCCTGGTGCTTTAAGAGGACGATAAGGACTAACTGCTTCTGGTCCATCAGACTCCATCTCAATTCACTTACACATGGTTCTGTTCACTCAACTCAGACCTTCTCAGAAAGGTTTCCCATTTGGGGCCTCAGTAAGCCTACCTGTCACATGGAGATGGGACACTAGACCAGAAACTGAATCTTAGCAATACTGACTCCTGAAATGATTGGTCATATTGGGTCTGTGTGTGGCAGTTCTTTGTGTGGCACTTTGGAGTGCTCAGTTGTCATTAGAATTTTAGATGGGTCCCAGTCCTCGAAAACTGAAACACAAAAATACTAGGATGGAGGCAAAAACATAGGCTGTAAGTCCTAGACCATCGTCACCTGTCTCTGCAGCAGGGATAAATCTGTAGGCAAATGATATCACTCGCTGGTACTGAACCCTCTGCGGGCCTCCTGTTATCATCAGAACAAAATGCAGACTCCTCACCATTGCTACACAGCCCTATATGATCAGGGTCTCCAGCCTCATCCTGGGAACTTCACAGTTCACACAGCTCACTCTGCCCCAGTCACATTCACCTCTCTGTTCCCAAACACCAGCCTTTTCTATCGCAGGACCTTGTCCCTGCTCTTCCCTTCTGTCTCTAAATCATCTTGGCTCCGGCCCTTTCTCCTCATGTAGGTTTAGGCTCAGCGATGTGTGTCCAGCCTCTCTCACCTATCCTCTGCAGTGCCCTTCCCTGGCCAGCCTGCCATGTTCTGCAGGTTGAATTGTTTCCATGTCAATCACCCATATGAGAAAAGCTCTTCTCCTTTGACTGTTTAAAGTCCATCCTGTTTTCCCTCCACTGGAGGGCACACAAGCTAATTGCCTCACCTTCCCTTAGGGGAAGATGCTAGGGCTGTAGATTGGGCTGAGTAGTCCTCAGGAAGACCAAGGAGCTAGAACAGGTGATGAAGATGGTGCCCATATTTGTTCTGGGAAATTTAACACATTGATCTAAACCTCCTGTGGCTGCTCATTTTACTCAAAATTTATTTTACTGTAGTGTCACTGCCCTCTGCCAGTTCCCGAGTCATCCTTGCCGAGCACATCACAGCGAGCAGCTGCATCTTGGGTGAGGGCTTTGCCTTCCAGCAGTTAATCTGCTCAGGGTCGAGAAACCTGATTTCCTTTTGGGAAAGGTGGGGACAAGGTCAGGAGCCTAAGATGGCACAAAATAGGCTGAAGAACCAGAGATTCTTGTAATTTGCTGTGAATGGGGAGAGGAGGAGACCTGGTGGCCTCACAACTGTTTCCAGCAGGGCCAACCTCTTGGTCTCCATGCTGGAGGCCCAGTGGCCCCTCAGCATGTCCTTGTGTGCATTACTGCTGCAGAGCCTGCGCCTATCAGTCTCTGGGAGCAGGAGAGGTGGGAAGATGGGGGAAAATGAAAGTGGCCTAGAGGGTCTGCAGGAGCCATGTGGGAGCAAGTGTGGGCCTCCAGATGGCCCAGTGAATAGTGTGTGCACGTGTCCCAGGCTCAGTTGTAGGGTCAAGGGATGTGTGGAACTCTTAGAAGGGGTGTCTTAGTTCTAGCGGGAATACCTGGAAGGGGGCTTATGGGTAGATGGGGGGCTGCATGGGTCCATTTGAAGTGTTGGAGCCATTGTCATGGCTCGGGTTCCCTGGGACACAGAGGCTGATACTGAGATTTGCCTGCTGGATTTAATTGGGAAACTCATGATGACACCTGTGGAAGCATGATGGGAGTGGGCTTAGGCAGAGACACATTATCCTGTGCTTCATCCACAGGGAGGGCTGGCTGCAGCAGGATGGCACCTTGGTCCTGAGGAGGTGGATCCAGGAGGTGCCCCCCAGCATCTGCTCCACATGGTTATTTCTGTGGGGTCTTCTGGGCATCCTTCCTGCACCTCCTCATATGCGTTTACTCTGTGGAAGTTATTCCATCAGCAGGCATGAATGGTGGTATCTTATTTTTTTTTTAATTTTTATTTATTTTATGATAGTCACACAGAGAGAGAGAGAAAGAAAGAGGCAGAGACATAGGCAGAGGGAGAAGCAGGCCCCATGCATCGGGAGCCCGACGTGGGATTCGATCCGGGGTCTCCAGGATCGCGCCCTGGGCTAAAGGCAGGTGCCAAACCGCTGCGCCACCCAGGGATCCCTGAATGGTGGTATCTTAAACAGACACAGAGACACATATACCTCAGAGCCTTGTTATTCACTCTTCTTTGATCGATAGAACAAAACATTCCCGTGTTTCCCCCTTATTAAATACCCTTGTTTATGATCTATTTTAGAGCATAGTACACTAGCCACTGTTTTCAGACCTTGTCTCAGTTCCCACTTTGACCCCATCCAGTTAAGCTTTCACAGTCACTGTGCAACTGAGGCCTTCTAGAGACCTGCCACTTGTCAGTCCAGTGATTGGTTTCCTGTTCTCACCTTCTTGTTCCTGTCAGCAGCAGGTGGCATGATTGATTGCTCCCTCTTCCTTGAGAGACTGATTTTCTTTCTCTCCTTACCCAGCTTGTGCCCTGAGCTCTGCATCCCATGTCCATGTGTCTCGCATCTCTGCTAGGATGTCTAACAGGCGTCTCCACCTTAATTTGACCAAAAATGGTCTTGACTTTTTCTAAATGTCTTCCCCCTGCATCCTGTGTATCTTGGTTAAGGGCCACCTTGTACTTCCTGGGACTTAGGTATGCATCTCAGCCTGAACATAAAATATGTAAGAAATTACCTTAGTTGCAAGTGTTTATAAGATAAGAAAAAGTTAAATGTTTATTTAAAATGACAGGAAGAGTACACAGTGTCTAAAATCCTTTAGAGATGTGGGAGGCAAGTCGTAGAAGACCATGCCTTTCCCCATCTGCTTCCCCAGCTGCCTCTCTGACCTCCTCACCCTGTTGCAGCCATGCTGGCCTCTTCCCTTCCCTGTGGCCAGGCTTGCTCCTGCTTCAGGGCCCTCCCTGGGCCTGTCCGGCTGCCTGGGACTGTTTGGCCCCTCACATGGAGGTGGCACACAGCCTCTGTCTGCCAGGTCCTCGATTGATAACCACCTTCTCAGGGGAGCCTCTTGGCCCCCTCCCAGTTAACATGCCAGCCACACCTTCCCCTCTGCTGCCTGTCCTGCCTGTTTCCTTCTGTCCCTTCCTCTTCAGGTCTGAGTCCTGATGATGACAAGCTTCAAGGGGAGAGCAGGTGGGAGGTAGCATATCTGTTAGGATGTCCATCAGGAAATGACAAGAGATAACAAGTGTTGGTGAGCAACTGGAGAAGAGGTAACCCTTGTGTACTGTTGGCAGGAATGTAAATGTGTAGCCATTTTGGAAAACAGCATGGAAGTTCCTCAAAAAATTAAAAATAGAACTGTCCTCTGATTCAGTAATCACACTTCTGGATCTATATCCAAAGAAAATGAAATCAGTATTGAAGCGATATCTGCACTCCCATGTGCATTACTGCATTCACTATTCATAACAGCCAAGGTATGGAAACAACCTAAATGTCAACGGATGAATGGATAAAGAAAATTTGATATATATGTATATAACGAAATATTATTCGGCCATAAAAATGAAGGAAATCCTACTATTTATGACAACCTGGATGAACCTGGAGAACATTATGCTAAGTGAAATAAGCCAGACTGAGAAAAGGGAATATTGTGTGCTCTTGCTGATGTGTAGAACCTAAAAATGTCAAACTCCTAGAACCATAGAGTAGATCAGTGGTTACCAAGGGCTGGGAGGTGGGTAAAACTGGGGAGATGTTGGTCAAAGGTGCAACCTCCCGTTTGTAAAATGAATAAGTTCAGGAATCTAATGTAAAGCATAGTGACTAAGTTAATCATACCGTATTATATACTTGAAATTTACTTGAAGAGTAAATCTTAAGTGTTCTCACTACACACATACACACAAAATGGTAATTGTGAGGTGATAATTGTGATAATTATTTCAGTGTATATGTGTATTTCAGTATATATGTCACAATTGTGACAATTGTAATCATTGTTTCAGTGTATATGTATTTCAAATGATCACATTGTACACCTAACTATATATAATTTTTGTCAATAATACTTCAATAAAGCTGAAAAAGAAAAAACGATGGGAGGTGTGTTGATCTTGCCTCTTCTGGGTGGTGCTCAATCCCAGCTTCATATTAGATCGCTCAGGCATTTTGCAGATACATCTTTTGTGCCCCCCCCATAGATTCCTTTCAGATGGGGGGGGCCCCGTGGTGTCATTAAGGTTGGGCAGCAGGGATTGTTTAGGGGCCACATCTGGGTGTACTCTGTTAGGTCTCTGTGAGCTAGGGTAAAAGAAACTACACATAGAAATCGTGTGTGATTTAATATCCACAGATATTGTATCTACAGATACCCAGTAACTTCTAGAAAAAGAGAGCAAATATGTATGAGAAATCTGTTCTGCCTGTTTTTATGCTACCTTGGAAGCTGAGCAAATGAGTCACTGCCTTCAAAATTTTAGTGATTAGGGGTGCCTGGCTGGCTTAGTCAGAAGAGCATGTGACTCGATCTCAGGGTTGTAAGTTCGAGCCCCACATTGGGTGTAGAGACTACTTAAAAAAAAAAAAAAACACTTCAAAATTTTAATGATTGGGAATGGAATGGAAAGTTTTTATTCATCATCAGTTTTATAATATGAAATCAACCTTTTTGAATTTGGATGGCTTTTATTTCTTTTCCTTGGTAATTTCTCTGCCTAGGATTTCTGGTACTCTGTTGAATAATAATGCTAAGAGCATGGATCCTTGCCTTCTTTATCTTAGAGGAAAAGTGGTCCATCTCTCAATATTGAGTATGTGGGCAGTGTGCTTTGATTATGTTGGGGTAGTTTGCTCTTCCAGGTTTGTTGAGTGTTTTTATCCCGAAAGGTTGCTGAATTTTGCCAAAGGCTTTTTCTGCATTAATTGAGATGATTAGGGTGGGGTTTTTCCCCCTTCATTCTATTAGTACATTCTGTTAGTGTACTGCATGCATTCTTTTGTTCTTTTATCTTTATCTGGGATTGGTATCAGAGTCATGCAGACTTCATAGAATGAGTTTGCAAGTGTTTCATCTTCAATTCCTTGGATGGGGGGATCCCTGGGTGGCGCAGCGGTTTGGCGCCTGCCTTTGGCTCAGGGCGCGATCCTGGAGACCCGGGATCGAATCCCGTATCGGGCTCCCGGTGCATGGAGCCTGCTTCTCCCTCTGCCTGTGTCTCTGCCTCTCTCTCTTTCTCTCTCTGTGTGACTATCATAAATAAATAAATTTAAAAAATTCCTTGGATGGTTTTTAGCAGGATATGTTAATTCTTCTGTAAATGTTTAGTAGCATTCTTTAGTAAAGCCATCTGGTCCTGGGTTCTTTGTTGGAGATTTTTTATTTCTGCCTGTATGTCCTCTGTAGGTCTTCTGTTCACATTTGTTATTTCTTCATTAGGTCTTGGTAGGTTGTGTGTTTCCATGAATTTACCCTTGTCTTCTAGGTTACACATTGTTGGCATGGAATTGTTCATAGTACCCTCTTATAGTCCTTTCTAAAACTTGCTGTGTCGTTAGTTGGAATGTCCCCTCTTTTATTTCTTTATTTTAAAAAAGATTTATTTATTTGAGAAACAGAACATGAGGAAAGGGGCTAGAAGAAAGGGTGGGTAGATTCTTTTAAATTTTTAAAGATTTTATTTATTCATGAGGGACACACAGAGAGAGAGGCAGAAACACAGGCAGAGGGAAAAGCAGGCTCCCTGTGGGGAGCCCAGTGTGGTACTCGATCCCAAGACCCTGGGATCATGACCTGAGCTCAACCATTGAGCCACCCAGGTATCCCCAGGGGGTAGATTCTTAAGTAGACTCCACGCTGATTGTGGAGACATGGGGCTCCATTTCACAACCCTGAGATCAGGACGTGACCCCCATACCAAGAGTTGGACGCTTAACTGACTGAGCCACCCAGGCTCCTCTTTTTTTCTTTCTTTTTTTTTTTTTTAATGGTCTAGCTAAGGGTTTGTCAATTTGTTGATTTTTTTTTCACAAACCAACTCTGTTGATTTTTTAATATTTTTTATCCTCTTTCATTTATATCTGCTATAATATTCCTTTCTTCCTTCTGCTAAATTGGTTGTTTGTTCTTCCTTTTCTGCTTCCTTGGGGTGTAAGATTAAATTTCTGGTTTGAGATCTTCCTGCTTGCTTAATGTACATATTTACCTTTGTAGACACTCCTCTCATTGCTTCTTTCACCACCTCCCTACATTTATGTATGTTGTATTTTCATTTTCATCTGACTCTTTAAAAATTCCTGTAGTTTCTTCTTTGACTCATTGCTTAAGAATGAATTTTAATTTCCACATTTGTGGATTTTTCTATTTCCTTTTTTGCTGTTTGTTTCTAGTTTCAATTCACTGTAGTTAGAGAAGATACTTTTTATGGTTTCAGTCTTCCTAAATTTGTTAAAGATTGTTTTGTGGGATGACATGCAGTCTGTCTTTCACGTGTGCTTTGGAAAACCATATTCTGCTGTTGTTGGGTAGAGTGTTCTGTCTGTCTGGTAGTTGCAATAACTTGAAGTTTTTGAACCCTTCCTATGAACGAGGCATTACTCTAAATGCTTCACATGTACTAACTCACTATCAGCACAACATTTGGTGTTGCATTTGGTGACAGTGCTATTCAGGTCCTCTGCTTCCTTCTGGATCTTCTGAAACTGAGCATTGAAGTCTACTGTTACTATTTACTTTATACATATGAGGGCTGTAATGTTCCATGCCTGTGTGTTTATAATTGTTCCATCTTCCTGGTGAACTGACCTTCTTACCATTATAATGTCCTTTGTCTTAGCGTGTTTTGTCTAATATATGTCTAATAGCCACCGTTGCCCTCTTTACATTCCTACTGGCATGGAATATCTTTGTCCCTCTTTTATTTTTAGCCTATTTCTGTCCTTACATCTGTAAATTTCAACAGTCTAGCTCTTTGACTCTCTCTCACCCTGTTTTTTCCTCCTTTAACCTCTTTTGCTGGTCCCTGCTCAGGCATACCATATGATGGTGAATGGCAAGAGCCCCAGCCAGCCTCCTTCCTCCACCATAATTTAAGAGGAAATTCATACAGTGCTTTTAACTGGGTCATAACATTGATGAAATGTTCTTGCTTAATAATAGTTTATTCCCCAGTTTCCTTTTTGTCATTTTTTTTCAAGTATCTAATTTGCTGTATGTTTTTTAATCTTAATCTGTTCAATTAATGTATAACACTGATAATTCCTCTAATCTTTTTAAATCTAATCTTGAACTGTTGGTTTATTAGTGGAATAAACAAACTGACTTTTGTTAATGCTTACACACCTACATTTAAATGCATAAAACTGTGTTTATATGTTTGATTCAGGTATTTTCTAGAAACTGGAGTTAAAGTATTCTATATTTTTTTCATGTTCATACCATCTCTTTACTAGCTTTCTATACAAATTGATAAATTGAATTAAGTACAATTTATACATTTTCATTTTCCCAAAAACACTGAAATACATGTGAATGAAAATAATGAAAAAATCATTCAAAATTATGTTGAGAAAGAACTCTTTGCATTTCAGTTAATTTGTGTTGTTTATATGTGTGTGCACAAGCACATGGATGTGTATGTCCATGGTTTTTATAAAAGACATCACTTCATAAATAAGCTTCATATTTTTTAGCAATTGAAATTATATCTTAAGTGCATTCCATGGCCTTCAGCTCTTTTTATACTGTCAGGTTAATCATTTAAATAGTAGAATAGTGGTAAGATTAGTAACGTTTAGAGGTGCCTGGGTGCTCAGCCAGTTAAGTGCCTTGGTCTCTGGTCATGATTCCAGGGTCCTAGGATGGAGCCCCACTTGGGCTCCCTGCTCAGCAAGGAGTCTGTTTCTCCTCTCCTTATGCCACTACCCCTGCTTATGTGTGCACATGCTCTCTGTCAAATAAATAAATAAATAAAATCTTTAAAAAAATAGTTACGTTTATGTGCATGCTGCATCTATGAGGACCTTTTATGCAGTTCTATATTGTAAACCTTGAGCTTGTTTCAAGTTTTCTCAGAGAAACCTCTGTCAGTGTACTTGCAATGCTCTGTTACTTAACTGTTTGATTCTTTAGTTTCACTTTTAACACCCCACCACCTGAGCTCATGTGTTTGCCATATCATTTCTTAGCTCTTTGGCCAGAGGAGAGTTTCCTACAGTGCCTCTGACCCAGTATTAGCATTCTCTGTAGGATGGGAACAGATCTTCCCCTAAGGAGCTGTTGTGCTGATAGCAAGTTAGTACATGTAAAGCATTTAGAGTAATGCCTCATTCATAGAAAGGGTTCAAAAACTTCAAGTTATTGCCACTGTTTTCCACATCATGGTTTTTAGATTCTGACTTCTCCTTAAAACCACTGTGAATTTTGTCATCTGAAGATAGCACTTGTGCTCTAGCACATCTAGATAATATCACTCAATATGTGGAACATAAATATCTAATACTTTGTAGAGACAACATAGTATTCACTTCTTATGTGTATGCTTCATTCATATATTGTCCACAGAAATGAGTGATCCACACTTATTTGGAGAGTATCATAATCTTTTATGGGAATGCATAAGAAATTAAAATTTGAGACACATAAATTGCTCAGAATACCTTAACACGGATCTGTTGAACACTCATTTTAGCCAAATTGATGCTTATACTTCTCTCTTCTCATTTTGTGTGAATAACTTTCCCCATGGCCTTTCAATGAAATGTGTTCTAATTTCAGGGATGGTTGACCTTCAGGGATATGGCCATAGAATTCTCTCAGGAAAAGTGGCAGTGCCTGGACTCGGCTCAGTGGGCCTTGTACAGGGACGTTATGTTGGAGAATTACAGGAACCTGGTCTCTCTGGGTAAGGATAATGTCCTTCCAGCAGTGGGGATTTGCCATTGGTTATCTTTGCATTTTCCCTGTTTGCCTCCCTGCCCTGCTTGACTGAGATTGAAACCCTCCTGACACAGAAATGAAAAGCTTCATAATGTAGCATCTGGACTTTTACTTTCCTCTTTCTTCAGGGGTTGTTCTAGAGTTTAAGAATACATGAAACCAAAAAGAAAAAAAAAAGGAGTACATGAAACCATATGGCAAACTTTTTAAAATATCCAGTCTTCTATTTTCTTCCCCTGTGCTTCTGATTAAGTAATTTTTGGTAGAGAGCTCTATATCTGCATGTTATACTGTTTCCTATGCACTTAGGAGGCAAGCAGTGGAGGAATTTGTGAATGAATTATTTGTTCTTGATTCATCTGTGATATCCTCTCGCCTCAGCTGAACAAAGAGCCAGGGTTCTGGAAAAGCCATAGCATATCACGTTCACATTCTTTTCTTCTTATGAGCAGGAATTTGTTTCTAACCTGAATATTACATCCTTTCTGGAACAAGGGAGAGTCCTGGACTGTGGAGGGCAAAGTGCAAATAGCATAAAACCAAATGGGTGGGAATGTGTGACAGGTGGGAAACACAGGAAAGAGCTCAGAAGGGCAAAGAGGAAGCTGTACCATTAATAGTGTTTGAGAAACTCTGCAGTGGGAGAGTTCTGTGGCAAAATAAAGCCTTCTTTCTTGTGAGCTCCCCAAGGAAATGTTTCTCCTCTCTCATATATCACTCGGACTTCAGGCAAGTCACCTGGGTGGCTCAGTCAGTTAAGCATCCGACTCTTGATTTCAGCTCAGGTCATGATAATCACAGTTGTGAGATCTAGCTCTCTGTTGGGCTCCAGTGTCTGGGGAGTCTGCTTGTAATTCTCTTTCTCTCTTCCCTTTGGCCTTCCCCCAGCTCTCTCATGCTCTCAAAATAAAGAAAATCTTTTTAAAAACCCAAATTAATGCTCTTAGATGGTATGGAATATTGCATATTTTATAGTACACGCAAAAGTTACTTCAACATTGTCATGTTTATTATGAGATATCCCTTTTCATTATATATATTTTTTCATTTTGCAGTTCTCAACAATTTTGTCTCTGACCTTAGTTAATAAAATTTCTACACCCTCAAAGTATACACTCTGAGCTACACGTATATAGGGGCCAATGAACTGCATAACTGGAGGGCACTGCATAAGTAGGAATTGCTCTATTGCATAACTGTAGGCATAAAATCGTAATTGTGACTTCTGACTTCCTTCTCCAGTTCCCTTATAATGTATTTTCCTGACCTGATATTTTAGAAGTCAGCTTTCATATTGTGTGCTCTTTCTAGAATAGAAATCTTCCTTTTATTGTTAAGGGGGAATGTTTAGAGCTCCACAAAGTATAACTTTCTATAATATGGTTAATTATTATTTATTGTTGGTTTTATCAAGGGTTACTAGAATATTTTATTAATTTTTATTATGATTGACAGATGTTTTATGCTATATAACTGACATGTACCAATTGTTAATGTTGTAAAATGGCTTTATTTCATGAGTACAGATAATTTTATAATGGGTATTTATAAAATTTCATTTTGTGAACATTGTTTCATTAAATTCTTCATTTTCTGGGGTGCCTGGGTGGCTCAGTTGTTTAAGTATCTGCCTTCAGCTTAGGTCAATATCTCAGGGTCCTGGGATCAAGCCCTGCATTGGGCTGTCTGCTCAGTTGGGAGTCTGCTTCTCACTCTCCCTCTGTGCTCTTGCTCTCTCAAATAAATAAAATCTTTAGAAAAATTAAATTCTTCATTTTCTCAATGCTATATTTGTTTTGCAATTCTAGATTACCATTTATTTAGATTATTCATCTGATAAGCTTGTTTTGGAGTACAGATTACCATTTATTTAGATTATTCATCTGATAAGCTTGTTTTGGAGTACTTAGCATTGTAATATATGACCAGTTCTTCAGCACTTATATACAAGTATACAGAAAATTCTGTATAATTTTTTTTTCTCGCCAAGTATGAGATATGCATTTACTGCCCATTGGTATGTGCTTTGGGATCATGGTGGAAAAATACCCTATCTTACAACAAGTGTTGACAAGGATGTGGAGAAAAAGAACCCTCTTGTACTGTTGTTGGGAATGCAAACTGGTGTAGCCCATGTGGAAAAGAGTATGGAGGTTCTTCAGAAAGGTAGAACTACTAAGATCCAACAATTGCACTACTGGGTATTTACCCCCAAATTATAAAAACACTAATTCAAAGGGATACATACACCCGATAGCAGCATTATTTACAATAGTCAAATTATGGCAGCAGCCCAAGTGTCTATCAACATATGAATGGATAATGGATAAAGAAGATAGATATATACAGTGGAATATTATTCAGCCTTATAAAAAATGAAATCTTGCCACTTGCAATGACATAGATGGAACTAGAGAATATGATGCTAAGCAAAATAAGGCTATCAGAGAAAGACAAATACCATATGATTTCATTTATATCTGGAATTTAAGAAACAAGGCAAACAAGGAAAGGGAGAAGAAAAAGGGAAAGAGAGACCACCAAGAAGCCAACTCTTAACTATAGAGAACAAACATGGTTACCAGAGGGGTGGTGGGTCAGGGAAGGGTTAAATAGGTGATGAGGATTAGGGAGTGTACCTGACAAGCATCAAATGATGTATGGAATTGTTGAATCACTATATTATACACCTAAAACTAATATAACACTATATGTTAACTATATTGGAATTAAAAAAGAAAAATATCCTTTTTTTAAGAGCTACTATAATTTTGTACAGCACGAGTGTTTTTGTCATTGGGTGTTTGAAACTTGGCTTTCCTAAAATTAATTTGTATTACAGATGAGCACTCTTTCTTTGCTTAAAAAAAATCCTATTTCTTTATTCCTAAAAGTTTGAAGATCATGGGAAGTTTTATAACTTTTCAGTATAAATACTACTTTTGTTGTAATACTATGTTTTCAACACATAATGTTTATTTGTGAACTGTAATTAATAGGATACCTATGGCTGTTTATATCTTATAGATATCTCTCCTACACATGTGATCAAGAAATTACAACCAAAGGAGAACAGTGATACAGAAGTATTCCAGACAGTGATGTTGCAAAGGTCTGAAGGCTATGAAATCAAAGATTTTTTCTTTGGGAAATCCAGGAAAATATGCATGACTTTGAGTGGCAGTGGAGACATAATGAAATAAATTACAAAGAAATGTCTGTAACCCATAAACACAATCTCACTGACAGAAGAGATCAGCATGGTAAAAGTGATGCAGGAAATAAGCATGTTATAAACAGGCTTGGATTAAGCTTTTGGGATGAACTACACATGTGTCAAACTGAAGGTAAAACTTATGAATGTAATGTACTTGAGAAGTCTGTCAACAATGGTTCTGGAGTTTCACCACTTCAGAAAATCCCTCCTAGGGTCCAAACCAACATTGCTAATAAATATGGGAGTGATTTTATTCCCATTGACACTGACGCAAGACCAAAAAGCATATAGGGAGCAGCCCGAGTGGCTCAGCAGCTTACCGCTGCCTTCAGCCCAGGGCATGAAGCTGGAGACCCGGATCGAGTCCCACGTCGGGCTCCCAGCATGGAGCCGGCTTCTCCCTCTGCCTGTGTCTCTGCCGCAGGCTCTCTCTGTCACTAATAATAAATAAATCTTAAAAAAAAAAAAAAACCAAAAAAACAAAAAGCACATAGGGAAAACCTTACAAATGTCATGACTGTGGCAAAACCTTTAATCAGGGCTCACACCTCACTAAACATCAGATAATGCATATAGGAGAGAAACCATATACATGTAATGTATATAGAAAGGTCTTCAGTCAAAATTCAAACCTTGTAAGTCATGAGAGAATCCATACTGGAGAGAAACCTTACAATGTAATGAATGTGGCAAAGTCTTTAGTCAAAATTCACACCTTGCAAATCACTGGAGAATACACACTGGAGAGAAACCTTACAAATGTAATGAGGCAAAGCCTTTAGTGTGTGCTTAAGCCTAGCAGACAATCAGGTAATCCATACTGGAGAGAAGCCTTATCAATGTAATGAATGTGGCAAGGCTTTTTGCCAAAGTTTGATACTTGTAAAACATCACAGAATTCATAATGGAGAAAAACCACATAAATGTAATGAGTGTGGTAAAGCTTTTCATCCAAAGTTCAAGCCTGATTGGCCATCAGAAAAGTCATACTGGAGAGAAACCATATAAATGTAATGTGTGCAGCAAAGCTTGTATTGTGCGTTCAAGCCTAATAAGCCATCAGGTAATCCATACTAGAGAGCAATCTTATAAATATAATGAATGTGGCAAGGCTTTTATCAAGCATTTGCACCTTAGGTATCATGAGAGAATTCATACTGGAGAGAAACCATACAAATGTATTGAATGTGGCAAGGCCTTCAGTCAATGGTCTGACATCAGGATTCACCGAAGAATTCATCCTGGAGAGAAAGCTTTCAAATGCCATGAGTGTGGCAAAGCCTTTACTCAGGGCTCACACCTCAGTATGCATCAGATAATCCATATGGAGAGAAGCCATATAAATGTGATTGATGTATGTGGGAAGGTCTTCAGTCAAAATTCACACCTAGCAAGTCATCGGAGAATCCATACTGTAGAGAAACCTTACAAGTGTAATGAGTGTGGCAAGGTCTTCAATCAAAATTCACACCTTGTAAATCACCGAAGAATCCATACAGGTGAGAGACCTTACAAATGTAATGACTGTGGCAAATCCTTCAGTGTCCATTCAAGCCTAAGTAACATCAGGTAATCCATACAGGTGAGAGACCTTACAAATTAATGAGTGTGGCAAGGCTTTTAACAGGGGTTCACACCATAGGCTTCATGAGAAAATTCATACTGGAGAAAAGCCATACAAATGTATTGAATGTGGCAAGGCTTTTAGACAATGGTCTGACCTCAGGATTCACCAAAGAACTCATTCTGGAGAGAAAACTTACAAATGCCATGAGTGTGGCAAAGCCTTTACTCGAGGTTCACACCTCACCAGTCATCAGATAATCCATACTGGAAAGAACCTTACAGATGTACTGAATATGGCAAGACTTTTAGATATTGCCTTAAATGCAGGGTTCACCAAATAGCTCATATTTACAAGTACAACAAATGTGGCAAAGTTTTAAATTCCTATTTTTCACTAGATAAGAGTAAATATGTTGGAAATAAACACATATATGTGTGGCAAAGGTTTTACCCAAAGATCAAAAATTGGGGAACATACTACAGCAATACCTTATAAATGCAAGGAATATGGCAAAGCCCTTACCTGGAGTTCCAATTATTTTGCAAAAACAGAGTCCATGTTGAAGAGAAACCATGTAAATGTGCAGAGCTGTTATCCAGGCCTCACAATGACATCAGAATATACATCTTTCAGAGAAACCACACAAAAGTAATGGTCATACTTGGGCTTCTGTCCCAACATAAAAACCGTGGAACACTGGAGGATTTATATCAGAGAGCCACCTTACAAATATGAAGAATGTCCTAAGACTTTTCATCAAATGTAATGAGAGAATTTATGAAGGGGAAACTACACTAAATCCGTTGAATGTGGAAACACCTTTAAGAAACTGTGGGTCCGGGATCCCTGGGTGGCGCAGCGGTTTAGCGCCTGACTTTAGCCCAGGGCGCGATCCTGGAGACCCGGGATCGAATCCCACATCCGGCTCCCAGTGCATGGAGCCTGCTTCTCCCTCTGCCTATGTCTCTGCCTCTCTCTCTGTGTGTGTGACTATCATAAATAAATTTTTAAAAAAATTAAAAAAAAAAAAAGAAACTGTGGGTCCTTGGGATTCACCAATGAATTTGTACAGGGGAGAATTCTTAGAAATTCTTACAAATTTGGTAAAGTTTTTGACAATTCACAGATCACACATCAGAGAATCCAGGAAAAACTGGATATAACTGGAATAAGTCTTTAGTTCTCTGAGATTAACCTGAGATGTTACTACAGAATAATTATGTCAATGTTAAAACTTCTATGGGAACAGGAACATGTGTGGAAGTAGATCATTATTTTCTGTGTATATTTATTTACTTGAGTTTTCTTGAAAAGGCTCTGTTACTACTTATGAGTTTCAACCTGAAGTTTGATCTTAAGCCTTCCTTACAGGCCTTTCCTGATGGTCTCTGGATAAGATGAAGGGGCCTACTTCATTGGGTGAGACTCATTCATATCCATGTTCCCTAAAACAACAAGGACACTGAGTTGTCAGATTCAGTATTGTGTGAATTTGCATTGGAGGAGGGGCAGAGAATAATGCAAAACTACCACAGAAGTTGTTATGCTAGTTACACTCAGGGCCCCTTCTCTGGATGAATTGTAAGGACTGGCCTTTTCATGGGAGGACAATGGGAGTTTGTTTACTAGGGATTATGTGGTAGAAACAATGCAAGGGAAGATGGTAATAGCAGTTCTATACTGTGAATGACAAACTGATATGTTATTAATGACTGATTTCCCTTTTCTTGGAAATTGAAGATAGTGATTATCTGAGAAAGCAGTGGAATGGAAAGAACCAGAACAGTATGTGCATGATTCATAGTTAACTCTTGCCATTACCTTTTGCTACTGTTTTCTTCAGAATGTATCATAGTTCTCATGCTTTAATTAACAAAGTTTAAATAATTTTCCCATAATCCTGAAGGAGTCATGTTCTTTTTCCAACACAGTTTATCCCACCTCTGTAGAGTACTTCATAACACACACTAACAGTGCACCATTAGGCTCTCAAGGTTGAAAGAATCTATAATTTCCTTCCATGATAGAATCAAAGAACAATTTGGGGATTATATACTTACCCTTTGCACCTGAATTATTCTCTCCATATTCTGCCCCGGGATATTTATGTGGCAATAATGAAAAATGCCATAGCAATGCAAGTTCAAGACTCTGCTCCCCTAAAACCTGCCCCCCATCCATGAATATGCACCATGGAATTACATTTCTTAATGTGTTTTGTGCCCAAATAAAAACTCATGCACCTTGATTTAAATAAAGCAAAAATAGGGATGGCTGGGTGGCTCAGTGATTGAGCATCTGCCTTTGGCTCAGGGCGTGACCCCAGAGTACCAGGATCAAGTCCCACATCATGCTCCCTGTGTGGAGCCTGCTTCTCCTTCTGCCTATGTCTGCCTCTCTGTGTCTCTCATGAATAAATAAAATCTTTTTTTATTTTTATTTATTTTTTTAAAGATTTTATTTATTTATGAGAGAGAGAGAGAGAGGCAGACACAGGCACAGGGAGACGCAGGCTCCATGCAGGGAGCCCGACGTGGGACTCGATCCTGGGACTCCAGGATCATGCCCCGGGCTGAAGGCAGGGACAAAACCCACTGAGCCACTCAGGGATCCCATAAAATCTTAAAAAAAATAAATAAATAAAACAAAAATAGGAACATAGCATGAAAAATTCAGAAATAAAATAATTTCAAAAATAAGCTAAAAATTGAGCTTGGAGCAGTCGTGAAGTAATTTAGGATGAACAGTATACAGTGAGAACATTTGTTTATTTTATAGATACAGTGAGAACATTTGTTTATTTTGTAGACAAATTAGGAGTTTCATATATACACCCTCCAAGACCTCTTTTGTTCTTTTGCACTGTGGCCATCCACTTGAACAGGTGGAACCTTAAACAAAGTTGAGTTTGGATATCAAGACTGGTGATGCCATGCACTAAAAGTGTTACGAGAACATTGGTTACCTAATGAAGAGTTCTAGGGTTAGCACAGGAAACTTCCAAACTGGTCCAAAAATGACTTGAGGGAACAGGAAATGGTGACTGATTTGGAGTGCTAAAGTGGTTAATGGGTGGAGCTGTCGGGAAGGGTACCCATTGTGGTTTGAACTTCCAGCTGGTTTCAAGGAGGAAGCACCCAAGCTTTTTTTATCAGCTTGCCCAGATAGGCAGAATAGAGGTTGTAATGAGCCTTAAAAGTTGTCCGTAGTCAACCATCAAAACTGGATACTCTTTAGTAAAAACACTGAATGTATACTCACAAAATTCCTGATTTCTTGGTTGGGAAAGACAAAATTTTCTTCATGCCAATAATTTATTCCTTTTCCTCCTGTTCACATAGTTTCCGTTGTATGGTATGGTTGTTGAAAATGCTTATTAAATACTATTTAGATAAATTGCCCTAAGATATTTTTACACTAGTTTAATGCAAGTTGTTTGGAAATGTTTATTAGATAAAAAAATACTACTAGAAGCAAATTTCCAAAGGATTTTAAAAGATCAATTTCAAGTAGCTGCATCTCTGAAAACAGTGCAGAGCAATAGCGAAGAAAAAAAATTCCTTTGGTTCCAGAAAATCTGAAAAAGAGGAAGGCTTCTCAGGCCCTTAAAGCCACTCAAGCAAAGCAGACACTTTTGGACAAGAAGGAGTAGAAGAAAGGAAAAGAACTCAAGTTTAAGCAACTGTAATGGTTCCTAAATGATACTTGGTGGCAGCAGTGTGACAGGGTGGACCTCAGACAACTGGAAATGAAACCTTGTGGCTTGGAAGTTCCAGATAAACATTCCTTGGCCTTCGTTGTACGTATCTAAAGGATTAATGGGGTGAGTTCACTGGTGCAGAGGACCATTGCAGGGCTGTGTCTGCAGATTTTCAGTCGTGTCTTTTTCAGAGTAACCCCCCAGACCATGAAGACGCTGAGGATAGTGGAATCTTATGTGACCTGGGATTTCCAAATCTGAAGTCTGTCCGGGACCTCATCTTGAAATGTGGACAAGCCAAGGTCAAGAATAACTCCATTCCTTTGACAGACAACACAGTGATTGAGGAGCACCTGGGGAAGTATGGTGTTATTTGCTTGGAAGACCATTCATGAAATTGCCTTTCTGGGGAACTCTGCATTCTTACGTCTTTCCATCTCTCAGTGTCCCATCATGTCACCAAGAATCGAGTGGGCTTTCCTCAAGGAGGTGGGTTTACCTGGCTATCAAGGTGAATGCATCAATCAGCTCATTCAGCAACTGAATTAAACCCAGAATATTTAAAAGCACAGCACATTGGTGACATGTGTTTTGTCTTCTGGAATTGTCACCAGTATCTTCAAAGATTACTTTCTGCTATATCTTCAGAAACTAGAGGGAGGGTAAAGGAAAAGATGATGATGCTCCTGGCAGGCACTTCTCATCACAGCCCAGTTCCAAGGAAAAGTTCCAATGTGTTTCCACATTGGCTCCCACTGCCACCTCTCAAGTCAGCAAAGGACTCATGCCATGGAAGGAGTCCTGCTGTGTCACATCTTCTATCCTGAGGTTTAATGTTGGTGAACAAATACCCAAACCTGAATACAAAATAGCAGTGGAGGGGCAGCCCGGGTGGTTCAGCAGTTTAGCATTGCCTTCAGTCCAGGGCCTGATCCTGGAGACCTGGGGTCAAGTCCCACGTCAGGCTCCCTGCATGGAGCCTGCTTCTCCTTCTGCCTGTGTCTCTGCCTCTGTGTGTGTGTGTGTGTGTGTGTGTCTCATGAATAAATAAATAAAATCTTTTTAAAAAAGGATATAGAAGATTAATTTCAAACTATGGTCTTAAGATCTATGTTACCTGATCTGTTTTCAAATGTAGTAAAAAAAACTTAATATAGTTTTTCTTTACTGTGATTTTTTTCCTTTCACACATTGTGACCCAGGTGGTATGTTTAGTTTACATTTTCCCCCTGTTTTATAACAAGCGGTACATAAACCCATGGGTTGTTTTGAGACTTTTGTGACATGAAAATGCACATAAGGCACATAATTTTGTACAAAGTAGGTACAAAATATGGAGTTCCTTCAGGTCTTCAGTGAAGTGACTTGAATGGCCAGATGGTTAACTGAAATCTCTAATGTGATAGTTGGTTGTGGTCAGGGGCTTGAAAATCAAGTGTGTGGAGGTTAACAACCACACAGTGAAGTAAATGAGAATATGATGAATAAGATAGAAAGTCGCTGAGATTCCAACTGTAGTTTCTGACAAGGAGATAATCTGCATTTTAAATTCCTGGAGTCACTCTGCCATTTCCCAGTAACTGATATCTTTCTTTCAGATCCAGAGGACCCTGCACCAAAACATGGGCTCATATTTCTTCTACTTTTTCCTTTTTGAGCAATCATACATGATATATTTTTAAAAGATTTTTATGTATTTATTCATGGGAGACAGAGAGGGAGAGACATAGGCAGAGAGAGAAGCAGCCTGATGTGGGACTTGATCCCAGGGTCCTGGGATCACAGTCTCAACCACTGATCCATCCAGGTGCCCCGACACATATTTTAAATTTCAGTTTTCAGGTGTAAATTGTTAGTATGTAGAAATGCAATAGATTTTTACATGCTTTTGTATTATAACATCTTGTAAATTTTATTTTCCTAGGAATTGTTGTACATTCCTTTGGATTCTCTACATATACATCTTCAAAAATGTTCCTGGTGATGCTGTGAAAAATTACCACAAACTGAATGACTTAAACTAATGTGTATTCTCTTACAATTCTGGAGGCCACATGTGTAAATGGATCCACAGCACTGTGGATCAGAATTTGTTTTCTTACCTTCCCACATCCAGAGGCTGCTTATATCCTCTGCCTGATAGTCCCCTTCCTCCATTTTTAAAAGCCAGCAAGATAGCATCTTAAAACTTGTTTAACTCTGCCTCTTGGCTTGGCTTCCATCACTTCACCAGCTTCTACATGACTAATTCTACCTGCATCCTTTTTTAAAAAAA